GTCTCTCCCCGCTTTGTCCCGCCTCGCCACGTCCCCGCCCTTCTCCGCGCGGCCCCGATCCGCCTCGCGCACCCCAGCTCTTTCGGGTGCACACTACAGCGCAGCGGTCGGGTGACAACGACCGGCGACACCCAAGAGCAAAAAGTGACTAGTCCATTAGCAAAGGCATAAACTGCTCCCGTTCTTGTGACCTCCGCCCGTTTGATTATCATCTGTAAAAAAAGAGAGAGAGAAAAGGCACGTAAATGACCGTACTTCTCTCCGGAGGTTATGTAGTGCCTATTAAGTACTCAGTGTTCACGTAAATTTCAGTTGCAAAGTTTTAGAATGCGTGTGTGTGTACACTGTACATCGTATATTCGTTCTGTTAACTTCAAATTCTACTAGTTGCGAGATAGTGAAGTATTAATTATGCTTGCAAGTTAAGCCATGCGATGATGTTAATGTGTACGTTAATTTGTTGTGCATAATGTGTATAATGTGCTCTTCTCTGACGTTGACGATGGACTATTAACTCCTTATCGAATATTGCGACGTTTCATTTAGGAAGATATATTGCATATTGTCGCATTTAGGAAGATTCCACATAATGAAATTGTTTCTTCGTTGATTATGATCTGTTTCTTAAACCCACATTTCATGAAACGATCAATGGCTTTCAACTATTCAAACTACGATTCAATCTATATGTTTCTTTCACCAGTTAATATAATATTATTTTTATGTACGTTCACGTCCTGAAATAGTTATAGCTTTATTTTATGTTATGATCTATTTTTTTCGTAATTTTCGATCGGATGTGTTGTAGTCAGATTATTCCCCAGTGAACATTCCTGATGGTCACGGCCGAATTAGAGATTCTGTGAAGTTGAAAATGATCATTTAATTTTTGAGATTATTTTGCATTAAACTCATAGGATATTTTCAAAGCTTTCTCAAAAATAATTAAAAAGATTATGCTCAATGCAATTAGGTGAATTTATAAACATGATGTAAGATCGATATTCATTAAAACGTCTGAAATTGTTAAAACTACAGAATTTAATCGTAAATCAAACCTGTCCTACATCTTTATTACTAATGATAAATATTTATTTTTAATGCAATCTATTCCTCTAAATCCACACTAAATAATATCAGCTACAATTTTCTAAACAATTGTGTTTTTCGCGTAGTTTTGAGTCATTTTGATGCATAGGGACAATTATGCATCTTAGGACAAATGCAAAAACGAGACTTTATTGTAGCAGCTAAATTATCCACAATGACTGCAATGACTCAGCAGTAGTATTGCCATTGCCTCTGCAGTGTCACTGGTCGATTTCGAGACGCGACGGTGGAGGATTTTCGACACTAACTACACAGGTAGGTCGAATTCCACATCTGCTTGGAAGATAATTCTAGCGGCCGATTGCTCTGATCGGTAGTTTTACGTGGTTTCTCCGATCAGTACAAGGCAAATGGCGGAGAAGTACCTTAACAAAAGGACCGCGGAATGTGTGAGATCTTTACTTCCTCATCATTGTCCCTCTTCCCCCTTTTACACACACACACACGACAGTTAAATTACACTACTGCACGTGTCAAAAGACCCGTGAGGAGCTTCAAGCTTGTCGTGTGCACCTGGGGAGATATCTGAAGGAGGAACAAGTAGCAAATCGACGTGTAGGTCGGCCCCGGATCTCACGCTCTAACGGGCGATGGACATGGACATCTCCCGGGAGATAAAATCCTCTACACTTACGGAAATAATAAAGACAATTGTTGACACACCCGGAAACCCTAAAAAAATCAATCTATCAAGGTAATCACAATTTAGTAGTTAAGGAGCAGAATTCGGAAACCGTATCTCGAGTTTGAATTTTATCCCTGGGAAATATTATTTTTGTCTAAAATGTTCGTAAGGATAGAGGAAAACAGAGCAAATTTAATATAGTAGTGTCATGCTCATTAAAACATTTGAATAAAAATAAATAGATATGATTTTTTTCGAATCTCTCACGCTTCTTTTGCTGAAGAGAGTTATGTCACAAGATGGCTAAAGTAATAGCAATATACAAATTGCAACAATGTAAAATTACGTAATACAATTAATACAGAAAGCTGGAACTGTTTCAGCATAACTAGTCGTGTACCTTTCGGAATATGGGGTTTGAAAATAATTTCTGACTTATTATTTATTAATACGAATTCATGAAATGGTTCCCTAAACGTATGTAGAACTTGTATTATACACAAGTGGAAATTAATTGGTGAATCTGTCTGGCTCCTAATTCGCGACATGTGGATCTAACATGACCAACTGAGAACTGCATTTTTCATTCTATTATATTTCTTCCCACTTTCTTCTTGATTTCTTTACCCATTTCATTTCTTGATCGTTTTGTCGATTTCTAGAGGCAACTTCTGAGTAGAGATAATTTCCAGACAACCCCTCTTCGAAGAAATGAATTTAACATTGGAGACCGCTGCGATACGGCCAGACTCCATTGTTCTCGGCCAAATCTTTCCCTCAGAGAGGCTGCTGGGCAAACAGAGGTGTTTTCGAAGAGAAAGAAAAACAATAAAAAGGCGAATAGAAGAAAAGGATAAGAATAAAGTATCGAGGAAACACAAAATCAAAAGGAAGGTCACACGCACAGAATGCTGTGTTCTTATGAGATAAATCATTTGAGAACGGTACTGGGGCACACAAAGGTAAATTCGTCTAAAGATATATTTTTAAGAATTTTGAAGAGTTTTACTTTCTAGTATATGTAGTTACAGAGACAGTTATATACTGTTATAAAGAATCAGTGCCGAGGTTTTGATGGATATACACGTTTTCTGGGTTTCCAACACTGTTACAAAACGCACCTGCTCACTCATCAGTCCAACAACTCGAATTGAGCAGCCGGGTTTGTTGTATATTCTAATGGGATCGAATCTATGGCAGGTGCTTTGCATGCGGGGAGATACAACATGGAAGAGTTTCGGCACTTATACCTTGACGATCTCGGCAATACGGATCGGCCATAAATCACGTCACTGAATCAATTACTCTACAATGTGGTCGCAGGGTGAAAAACTAACATCTTTCCCTCAAGGTCATATTTCTTATTCTTAACGAAAAATCGTTTAAGACCTTTACCCACCTCTTCGGTTCATAAGATACCTGCTTCTTAACCCTGGAATTGCAGTTTTATTTTTTGTTGCAGGAACCGTGAACACTGGCGTCTCATGGATCCTAAAAGTTTTTATTGTTACAAAAGATTTATAAAAATTGTGTATCATTTCAAAGTGTGTTATTGTCTTTTATTGCCATTCAAGAAGGCATGGAAACAAAAAAAAACCTTTAAAAAGGAAATTTGAAAATTAAAATTTGTTTTTAACGTAGATCCTTTCTTCAGATTTCAATAGATTGGTTACAAACACAGTTTTAAATCACGTCAAATGCAGGGGAGACAAAAATGTTATGAATTCCCATTGTGACAACGGATAAGCCTTATAGGAAGAAGGCTATTTCTATTTCTATTTCTTTTTTTTTTCAGAACTATCAGAAACTACACACTGGGTTCACTGGCACCACTGACGAATCAGCTTCTATTTCTTCTAGAAAGTATTGGCAACAACTGAGAGTCTAAGTAGTATGAGGGCAAGTTAACGATATCATTTAAATTGGGAGGGGAGTGGAGCGAGAGGGGTGAGGGGACGCGGAGAGGGGAGGGGGTGAAGGGAGAGGAGAAGGGGGAGAGGAGGCGAGGGATGGCTATGGTCACTTTGCCGCCCCAAACTCTTACCGCTCCGTATGTTGCCGCGGGGTAACTGCCCGGCAGCTGGTCCGCCCATTGGCAATGGAGGCAGGTATGTTACATATATACATACATTTATTAGAACTGCAATTGGGTATGACCCGGTGGCAGTTAATGACAATAATTGCAAAAGTTACAACACTTACATTAATAATAATACTAACAACAACAACAACAACAACAACAATAATAATAATAATAATAATAATAATAATAATAATAATAATAATAATAATAATAATAATACCGAAGGTTGGTTCATAATACAAGCCCCGATGCGGCGCAGTCCCACAAAAGGCAAATACACACTAACACTATCCACTAATGGTGGATGCGTCCTGGTAATCCAAGTCAACGGCGCGATTGAACGAACTAGTTTGCGCGCGGCGTAAGTCAGATGATGTAGTGCGTATACCACTGCCTGAAACACAGAAGCTTCATATTAGTTTTCACTCTTTCGCATCAACACCATACTAGTATTATATTTCGTTGTTTAACGTCATATGGCACATGGTGACCCCAATTTACCTCGGTTAATGCCGAACAACGTGTAAGTTTGGGGGACTCGTATCATACCTTCTGCAAACATTTTCAAAAGCACTGGTCGGCGAGCAGTAAACTAACTTCCGGAAGCATCGAGTGCAAACACCGCGCTCAGATGTAATCAATAAACGCAAATTTTTTTTCGAACGATCATTTTTCCTACAAAATGCGTTTTGCTATGTGTCGTGATATTGAGATTAGATCGTGATGGTGCAGAGATTGTGTTGGTAAATTCTATGGAGTTTGCGGGGCCCTTTTGGAATTTAATGTGGAAGAGAGTGGAGGACGCTCTGACCATTGATAAATTGATTGACTAGTGATTCTGGGCGCCGTCAAAGGCTAAGGTCATTGGTCCCGTACGTGTAGTGAATGTTTTACACCGGGAGGGGGCGGTAATTTTCCCATGCTAGATGGTGAGATTCGGCGCCGACCTATTCGGTTAGCGGGATTTTGTCCAAAGAGGTACTTCCACCAAGGGGGCACCGTCCCAGCCGGGACAAACCCTAAGTTCCCGACCGGTCTCTCGGCATGTGTGTGTTAGTGTTTAGTGTGAGTATGTAAGGAGTAAGGTTAGGGAGAGGAAGAGGAAGGGAAGATCGAGCCGTCCATGACCTGTTTGTTAGGGTACTGCTCCGGCATTCGAGTGGTATTGATAGAAGAAACCACAGAAAACAACCGTTCAGAGCATTCTGTCGCTAGAATTTTCCTCCAGACAGCGGCTGAAAGTGACATAAGTATGTAGTCAGTATCGTAAATCTGCCACGGCCGGAAACTTAGGACCTCCCAGTCAGAGACACTGCAATCAACAGCAATGCAGACTATGAGTTAAATACTGTCAACACGACATTGACACAATTTTCTACGGAAAGAAGTACCCTGTGTTGGTACCGAATAATGGTTTGATGACATGAATTTTTCAGGTTCTGCAAATGCAGAATGATGCCCAGCACATTTGTGGGCAGCTTTTTATCCCTCAGGCAAATAGTGAAGTTGAAAGATTAGTAAGAAATTTTAAATCAGCCATTAGTGGAAAAGACAGCGGGAACGCCCAGGTACAGGGCAATACTGAGTGTCCTTGCAGGTCGTTGTCGGGCAAGAGTGGCCAGAGCATGGAATTTCGGCCAAATGAGACATATATTTCCGAGGGATCACGTGTAAAATTTAAGGTAGGAGACCCTCTCAATTGAACGACATTTACGAAATTATCAGTCTTGTGGTCCACAATAATCCAGAAAGTGAGGGAAACATGATATATACAGTCAATATAGACAGTAAGATAGTTACAATGCCAGATCTCGTATATTAGATTATGTAAAACGAGTAGTGACGCAGGAGCTCTTGGATAAAATATTGAAAGAACCCTTCCTTACACGATCCACTGGGTGGCGAGCACAAAGGAAAATGCGGGACCCTCGAGTGGCGAGACCAGGGAGACTACGGCTCAGCAGCCACTGGACAGCAACCGCTGCTATGGAGGAGCAACCAGAGGAACAACCTTAGAGATGTGAGAATTAGGTTACAGCAGAACGACCGGCAGAGGACGAGACTGGCAAGAGAGGACGCGACATTCCACTACAGGATGAGTAGCACCACAGGAGTCGCGCCCTACACTCCACTTCAGGATGAATAGCGCCAGAGGAGTCGCGCCCTACACTCCACTCCAGAATAGTAGCCCCACAGGAGGTCACGCTCTCCACTCTACTCCAGGATGAGAATACCACAGGAGGTCGTGCCCTATACTCCACTCCAGGATTTGAAGCACCACAGGAGTCGCGCCCTACACTCTCCGCCAGGATGAGAAGCGTCACAGGAGGTCACGCCGGAGGCTGCTATTTGCTCCGTGGCAAAACATCCACCGGAATTTCGTCGGCATGGTGGATGTTTTGTCACCGAGCGTTTTAATAGATTAACATTGGTCTTGTAAATCATAATTAAGAATATATTTTCACCTTCAACTTCAGAGAAAAATATATATTCATCCATCACCAATACCAAAATTAGTATTTTAATTAAACTATTCTCTGACATTTATATACTTATATTTGCTTCCATAATATTTACAGATAATATTTTTTTTCATTATAATAAACCACCCCTTAGCCATTACATTACTTATTATCATATATACACTAATAATTTGTCTTCTTAGAGGATCAATCTCCTACTCATTCTGATTTTCCCACATTCTCTTTATACTCTTCCTAGGAGGAATATTAGTATTATTCATTTATATCACAAGATTAGCATCAGTGGAATACCGGCGGATTTTGGCCAGCGCGGACAGGCACTGGTCAGGGGAAACCAAGATGTGTCCATTACGGTCCGGTTAGTACCAACCGTTTGACCACCATTCTCTCTCTACCGCCTCAGCCGCCGCCAAAGTTAGGAATTCTGCAAGATTTCTCCGCCACCTAGCTATAATTGAGGGGTGTCCAGGTTGGATATTTCGGACGAGATAAGGTATAAGTGGTTCAGAGATTATGCACGCTAACGGACGGAACTCTGGAGTTAGGACGACCTCTGGTAGCATTTGTGATTTCGGCAGGGTATTTGGGAATCTTTCTCGGCAATGTATACGGTATATGTCTAGATTAAGGCAGAAATTGGAAAGATTGTGTAATGTTTTTAAATGTGAATAGAACAATAAATGTAGTGTTTTAATCGTTCACTTTATCTGTTTTTTATGACAACACCGTTGATTAAATTTTCTTACACGATAGCACTGTAGGGTTAAATTGATTTCATTTCTTTTTAATACATTTCTTTAATATAATTGTTTTGTTAAAAGTTTTAGAAAGTCTCCCAATGGTTGAGCAGCTTTTTGAATTTAACTTCTAGTTTGTTTTATTATAGAGGAAATAATGAATCTTGATTCTGATTTACTTTAAAATGCATACATTATAAAAATCTTGAAATGTAAAATATAATAGACTTTATAATTACTATTATATCTATTTGAAACATATTACGTCCGTAAAACGTTGAAAATTAATTTTGGTAAATTTTTATTGCCTTTGTAATGTTCTTCCTAATCATGATGAATATATCAAAGTACCTTTCATTGTGAGTTATGAGAACTGTTCGTCTGAACCCACTGGAAAGCCATTGTCAAGTGTATTCAATGCAGTAAAGTACACGACGATAAGAGCAACTGTTCTATAGAATTTGACAGATAACAGAAACATTCCAAACAGCTTCTTCATTTGAGGAGGTCTCGTGGAACAGTATTTCAATCTAAAACAGCAATTGTCAAAAGAACCACCATCAACTTCATACCAAAGATTCTGCAGTTAAGGTGTTGCCTTACAGAAGCTTTCAGAGGTACTAATCTAAGCAAAGTACGGATGTACGTTGTATATTGTAATTGGCTTGTATTTTATTTGCAAGTGTGTAAAATACAAAAAGGTTTTTGAACTTAAAAACTTTCCAACCGAAGCTTCTAAATTGTTGTGTTGTGAAACAATGAATTGTTCTGGAACTATGAAGTCTTAGTCTCCCAAAGAACAATGGATAGTAGAGCAACACAGTTTTACTAAGCTGGCCACTACTTACACGGAAATATTTGGTCACGTTTCCTATTGTATCACTATATAAGCCGCGCTCATTCTATTAGCAAACATGAAGAAATAAAGACCCGATTGACACCCTTCCTTTTGACACAAGAATTTAGAAGTTTTAGGAAAGTCTGGCATGCGTCGTGGGGATTTTTGAAAAAACAAATGGTTGCGTCTTCGCAACCCTTAATTGGCGTTGAGAACTTATTATGGAGTAATCCTCCGTTACTTTACGTAAGATTGTCCGGGAATAAAACCCAAACCACTGGCGAAAGGCGAGCTTCTTCGCTCACACCCGCGAGCACCTTCTGTTCTGTTTTAGAATCGTTCTGAAATTCGGGAATCTGCGCATGCGCGCGTTCGCTAAAACTCCGGAGTCTCCGTCGCAAGGAATCCTTGTCTTAAGAAGTCAAGGGACTATTATATTTTGTTCCCTGCGATGTTCACATGACTGATTTCGAACTTTATGTTTGATACAAACATTCAAGTTCTTCCTTTAATCATACAACGGATATTTTACGATTATTCGATAATTAAATACAAGTCTTCATTACAAAATTACAGTTTGCTTCTTTAATAGTTGTTATATTATCGAGTTCAATAGAATCAGCATCAGACCAGACTTCATATTTGAACTGGTGTATATGCTTCACGTGTTTGGTTTAATGTATTAAATCATAGCTATTCACTTACTATTAAGCCATAATTTCAGTTGGAGAATATAGTAAGTTTCCAGCAGATAACGAAGGATACATAATTGTGCTCTCGGAAACAGTTGAAAGGAGCGAATGGACGTTGGAGAAGTACACCCAATAAAATAAGAAGTTGTAAGCTAATCCAAAACGAGCGATGTGACCTTCCTGTAAAATATAATTAATATAGATCGTTACTTATTATAAGGTAATGTTTGTTGGGTTAACGTCATAGCATGCTATTAACTATTTCAACTGGACTTGACCCCTGGTACTATCTAGACGATTCTATCAAGACGAAACAAATGCATTATTGGCAAGTGTTGGGCGTGTCGTGCGCCGAGCGCACTTGGGGCTTCGCGTCCTTAAATTAGGTTCCGTGCGAATGGCTGTGGGGCGAGC